GATAGAAATACAGATTGTATGGAAATATTCTGACAAAGCCATTTAAGAAGCATAAGAAATACATCTGGACAGTTCTTTGGAAATGCGTTCAACAGTGAAAACTGAATCTTCTCTACTTCCCTTGGCTCCAAATTGAGCAGAGGACGGCTTCCAGTTTGGTATGGTGACATACAGATTTATGATTACAGTCATGTACCAGTTTAAGGGGCTATCTCATATTTTTGTCTCCTTATTGATTTAGATTACTGCTAAATTATTTCTTTTCGTGGTGATAATTTGTGGGTCTGAAGTTCAGAAGACAGAGCAGGAATCACTCCCTCCTCTCAGAAGGAACAGCTTCTCAGAGAAGAAAGAAAGAAGAAAAAACAAGTTCAAACAAGGGCCAGATTCAGCTGGAGGCTGCAAAGGAAAAAAAAAATCCAGAAAACCCATTGTGTTTGTTAGGACATTGTGAGATAGCCTGAAACCTTTTGATGTATGTGAGTTCAGCGATCACTCAATTGTACTTGGTAAAGGGCTCCCCCTCCCTCAAGTGGCTACTTTGAAATCTACAATGGAATGTCCTGGGAGGTTGAAATGCTCTAATATTACTTTGTCCTTGACTGAGTCCTGATGTCAAACTTTGTATCCATTAATTCTTTTGCACAACGTGTGGCCCATTTGTCTTACCTAGAGTCCAGAGAGGCATTGCTGGCAGATGATGGTATAGATCACGTTAGAGGAAAAGCATGGAAGTCACCTCTAATCTAGTATGTGAATTTGTTGGGGCCTATGATTATGCTGTTGATATAAATATGGGAGCAAGTAGACATCTGGGTTTGTTGCAAGATCTAATTCCTATGTTAGCATCATTGTTCTGTTATTTTTTGTTGCTTGAGAGAATCTGTTTCAGGTTGGATTGCTGTCTGTATGCAAGTATGGGCCTGCCACCAAGTGCCTGAGAAACTGCATTGTCCAATATACCGTATTTTTCCATCTATAAGACGCCCCTATGTATAAGATGACCCCCA